AATTTTACACCGTGCTTTCATCTTTCTGGAACCTTGTCAGAAAAATTGGATTTTTAGCACTTACGTGAAAAGTTAAATGTGGATCTGCCTTGTGAGCGAACTTACTCTACTCCAGTATCGAATAATCAGAACCGCACGACTCAGCCCATAGCCGCCATTAGTTGGTAGGCTCTCCGACTAGAGTTAATTTTTGAGGACAGGGAATATTTGGGGTCTTTTATCAGTGGACAGAGCTGAAATAACTGAGTCCAACGTAATGCAGAACTGTGTTTTGCTAGGTTCCTCACCACCCCTTCCTCCTAGATTCAGTTCCCCTCCGCGTTTCCAGGTCTCTCAACCGGTGCAATTCTCCTGTTCATCAAAAAAGAATTCAACAGACATCGGCGTGCCTCCTCGGCGCTATTTCATTACGTTCGAACTTTCGCACGTGTGATTTCATTTGACCCTCGTGGCTATAATTTATTTTTTATTTTTTTTAAATAGCCTTTTTTTTTAAAATTTTTTTTTTCAACGTTTATTTATTTTTGGGACAGAGAGAGACAGAGCATGAACGGGGGAGGGGCAGAGAGAGAGGGAGACACAGAATCGGAAACAGGCTCCAGGCTCTGAGCCATCAGCCCAGAGCCCGACGCGGGGCTCGAACTCACGGACCGCGAGATCGTGACCTGGCTGAAGTCGGACGCTTAACCGACTGCGCCACCCAGGCGCCCCTCATGGCTATAATTTAAAATAAAGTCTCATTTCCTCTCTGGGGAAAATAAAGCTCAGAGGCCCCAGGCTCCTTCCCCTCGCCTCCTTCTGTCTCCACTTTTCCCGCTGCCTCACCGGTGCCCTAACCAGCCTTCGAACGGCCAGACTTTCTTTCCTCAACCATCCACGTTTCTTTAAATACGTAAAACCCTGGATTGCGAGGAACTTGTTCTGCGAGCGTGCCACAAGGCCAGCAAACATTCCTAATAAATTTTAACTTGATAAATGAGTGATGTCTTGCCATACAAGTCATACATTCGGCCAAACACCACATGATCGCAACCGAGTCAATGGTTCCTGAAATACACTTTGATATATACAAGTGCTTTGGATTACAGGCATGTTTCCGGAATTATGCTCACGAGCCAAGTTTTTACTGTACCATCATTAACGTGTTCTTCCTCTACTTGAAACTTGGTAATTTCTAATTTTTCAACTGACCTCAAAGTCTCCAGCTTGACTCTATTTTACCTGTTGAACCACACACCTTACAACTCTTTCCATATGATCCATCTCCTACACCGGCCTTCGTCTCCTCCTCCCACAAAACACAGTCGCTTCCATTCCCGAGCCTTGCCTTGCGTCCCCTCTTCTACACTGGGACCATCCGGACCCTGCCCCTCTCCACACTCCCCTCCTCCACAGAGCCTGACATGGGCTCTTCCAGGGTATGCTTGGCCCTCCCATGCCAAGCCTTCCATGGCACCGTCACCTCCATGCAGGAGGGTGTCAGGATACGGACTGAGGGACCGGATGCTGTCGGCACGAGTGTAAACCACTTGGGAAACAATTTGGCAAATCCTGGAAAACTGAGCATTTTTGTGTGTCTTACAACCCAGCACTTGGCACTCCTGGATTTATATCCTAAAGAACCTTTGCACGCACGAACCAGGAGATGGTACAAACACGCTCCGGTGAGAGCAAAAAAAAAAAAAGCACCCACATGTTTGTGGACGGAATGGAAATTGTGTTTTTGTCTTTTTCCCCCATGAGACACAACAGAACAGTGGAAAGTTGGAGACAATGAATACACTGCAGGAATGTAACATCAGGACCCCAAACCAGTAGAGACAGTCATGCAAGACTACGTACGAGACACCTTTTCCATAAAGCTCAAGAAAAGTAGTACACGGTGTGTGAGGGAGGAGAATGTGACATGTGAGGGGAAGGGCATGGGGACGATAAAGTTTACAGTCGTGGGCTCCTTGGCACAGAGGCAGAAAAGGAGGGAGGAGGGGACACAGGTAAGGACACGGGCAGCCTGTGCATTAACGTGAAGGTGGCTTACAGCTTGCGTGTCCCACGTCTAGGTGCACAGGTGCCAGCCGAAGGGGAGAAGGGGAGGGCTGGGGCCTCGGGAATGCTGTGATCATTTGGAACCCACCGTCCGAATGGGGCCAGAGGGGACATTCATTAGATGCCTCTGGACAATCGTCTGCTGCCTGGTCAGCTGGAGCCCTTGAGTGCCCACTATTGCATGAATGCTGGGGGACAACCATAGGACAGACAGGGCCTGGGCCACGCGACGAGACCTCAGGGACCGCCATACCAGATGTGACTGTATGGTGCACACAAGGAAAGGGTCTCCCCGTAAATTACTGACTGCGTAAAAACGGACTGGAGACTGGGTCACGGCCAACAGAACCGGTGAAATAAAAGCTAGTCAATAACGCACGGAGAGTCGCCCGGAAAAACACCATTGTAATGAATCTGCAAAAGCAAATCGTGTTCTCTACACTTTGGGGGAGGGAAGCCTCAACCAGAAACACAGCTCTGGGCACGCGGCGTGCGCTCGGTGGGCCCGGAAACAGTCTCTCCTCTTCGTGGTCACACAGGTGACCTCCGAAGCAAGGCTGCTGGAGAAGAAACTGAAGAACATCCAGGTGGTAAAGAAACTTTGGGATTTGCCGCCCCACGTCCCAGGGGAAAACGGCTCGATTCGTGAAAAAGAAAAAACAAATCACCGTGTGTGAGGCCCTCCTCCTTTTCATTTTTACAAAATCTGCAATAAACCACAATTCTTAAGCTGTTTTTCATTTTTTTTATTGCTGTTAATTCAAGGAAAAAGGGTTGCATAAAATCCAATCTGTTCTAGAAATATAAGTGGCCTTTCCAGTACATAACATTTCAAATATCAAAGTATATGGTAAACATACAAATAAGGAGAAGGTAACATACCTCCTATATACAGTACAGTATTTTAAATCATAAAATAAGCTCCATAAAGTACAACTGGCAAGTGGTTCCCAACACGGCCCATACGTGGCTCATCAAAACTCTCACTTGGAACAACTCAACGGCAGCTTAGCAATTAATTTAATAATGTGGTCCAAAAATACCCAGATCAAATAAAATATATTTAATCAAAATAATTTCCTTTATGCGAACTTTCTTCTTTAAATTAAAGCTTTCATCTACCCCTTGACACCCACCCCTTTCCCTTCCCCCCGAACTCCCACCCTGAAAGTTAGTTTCAAAATGTACATTGCTGTTATAAATATAAATGCTACCCATGAAGCATTAAATGAAGCTTCTCTTTTCTTCAAGTTTTTCCTTTTATCTAGCAATCTGTTGGGCTTCTGAACCCAGACCAAGTATTTAAGTTCCTCTGCTGGGCACTGACATTGCCCCACACGACACGAATCTATCCCTTCTGCTCTGTACTGAGGAATGGGAAAACAAAACCAGCCCGACCCTGAACCCCTGACTGTACGGGGGCAGATGCTCATCGCTGTTGAATGCAGCAGTTCCAAAAATACACCCAAGGCTTCCAGATAATCTCAGTGCACTTTAGGAAATCAAAAATTACCTGGAAGCAATTTAGTACATAGATTGGCTTTAAAAAAAACTTTTTTTTTTTTTTTTTTTTTTTTTTT